GAAGGGCGGGCAGAGAAAGCAGGAGATCCAGGAGAGCACGGGGCCATAGCAGCCATGGAAGTCCCAGGGCTGCTGAGAGCCCACTGGAGGGGGCACTGTGGGATGGGGCTGCACATGGGTCCTAGATGGCTCTCAGGAGCAACCGCGGGGTGAAGGGCGACTGGCTGGTTGGAGGTGAATGATGCCTGAGCAAAGGGTAGACAGCCACTGAAGGCAACTCTTCCAAGAAGGCCTGCAGGGGACAGCACCAGGCTACTGCATGTGCGTTTGGGGGTGGGGAGGCAGAAGCTCCCAGGGAGCTTCCTTAGAAGCTAGAAACATGCAGAGAGCGAGCAGCGCACCCTGGTGACAGGCCCAGACTCTGGAGCCACAGGCCTGGGGTTGAATCCAGCTCTACTGTTTAGACTTTGAGCAGTGCCTCAACTTCCCTATGACTCAGTTTCCTTATCTGCAAAATGGAGGTAAGAAATACCTTCCTTCTAGGATAACTATGAGGAGTACAGCACGTTACAGTGTACAATGCAGTGGCAGCCTGGCACAGCATCTGCTGCTCTGGCCATCACTGCAGACGACAGGGGTGGTGGCTCTTCTGTGTGCTGATGGGAATCATGGACTGAGAAGGGAGAAACAGCTGCTGCAGGCGTCCTAGGGAGGAGCGGGTGGGATCCAGGGGGTCACCCAGGGGGTGGCAGGAGGAGAGCTAGAGGGCTGGGGACACAGGAGGCGGCTGGTAGCAGACAGAGGAAGGAGCTCCATGTTCTCAGTGAGGCAAGTCATTGGCCGGGGCGCCAAGAGGTAGCAAAGAACGCACAAGGGTGCTTCCAAAAGTTCGTGGAAAAAATAGAATTAAAAGATGATACCAATCTTTCCATGAACTTTCTGGAGTACGCTGGTATTAGAGAAATACACAGCTGGGAGGTCCCATCTGAGATCAGGGGCCATGGCATTAGAGTCAGACCATCGGGAAAGGAGATGCACGTTTCCAGCCGTGGCCTCTGGCTTGGCTCCCAGTGTGGAAAAGGCCAAGTGCTGGGTGACCTGGGATCGCAGTAGTGGGAGGGAGGAGAGGGTTCAGGGGGTGTGCAAAGGACACTTGTAATAATAGCATGGGACCTATCTGGGTTGGGGATAAACTGTGACATGGGTCTGGAGACAAGGGGAGACGGTCATGAGGAGGCTTAGCGGCCAGTGGCCTCAAGTCTCCATGAAGTTAAGAACTGCTGGAGGGGGAAGTGAGAGGAGAGACGAGGAGGAGGTCGGCTCAGAGCATGTGGCTCAAGTTGAGACTGTGGTGAGGGATGGACACTTATGAAGCAGTCAAGTCTCCTTGGGGAGAGGGTGGCCAAGGAGACAGGAGGAAAAGACCTTCAACAGATAGGAGCCTGAGGACCCGAAGCCCAGGTATTTGGTGGCTGCTGAATTCATGGAGAACAATGGCAGGAAAAGACAGAGAGCCGAACGCTGAGGACCACAGCCGGCAGCAGCAAGACGTGTGCAGCGCAGCAGAGGGGGAAGGCGTGACCCGCACGTGAGCTGAGGTTTGAAGGAGGAGAGAGGAGCAATACAAGAGTCCCGGGAATCGCAAGCTCCGGGCCTTGAGATCTGGGATGAGCTGGCTTCCCAGAAGGTTTCTGGGCCAGGCAGGAGTGAGGGCCAGACAGAACTGCAGACTGGGGGTGGGGGTAGAGATTTGGGGGGCCACAGTGGGGGGGCCACAGTGAAAGAGTCTGGATAAACAACTGCATCAGATGAGTGAATGCATCAAGTAGAAGGGGTTAAAGTCCAGAGGATGACACATCCAGGATACCTGGGATTCTGGAAGACAGACTGACTGAGACAGATACCTACATGCTTTCCTGCAGACACACAGAGAGGTGGCAGCCAGCTGTCAACCAGCAGGGTCAGACAGAAGGTGCGGGACCCACCCCACCACGAGCTAAGCGTGTGGTCTCACCAATGCTGTGCTCCTGCCTCTTCACCTTCTCACAGCTGCCCTTAGGTCACAAGTCGAACACCCCATAATAAAATAAAAGAAGCTTCATCTGGAAAAGACTCTTGCTTTTTTGGAGGAGAATACCTCCCTGATTCATCTAGCAGTGAGACGGTTCATAAGGACTTTAGAAAAATACCTACTTCTTTCTGACAGCCGACTGATTAAAAGGTAACACGAAATGGCTGTTTTGCATGAGGCCAAACTGGTGAGCGCTGGGAACATACTCTGGAGCTGTGTCCACTGCACACTGTTCCTGGAAGAGATGCACAGGGATACTTAGCTTCCTCCACTAACATACAGGTGCTTCCATGAAGGAAGCTTCTCAGCAGCAATCACATCAGGACACCAACAACCACAAATGCGCACTTGCACTCATTTAACCCTCAGTTTAAATAATGTACTTGCCAGCCCTTAATCTCTCTGAAAATGCAGTTAAGAGCTTCTCTCTTTCACCTCAATCCCATTTAAGTTCACTTAAATTCACTGGAGTCCATCCCACAAATTTTCATTGGGCCCAAGGGGCAATGGCCTTGCTATCCATGGGGCCCCTACCCTGTCCTGAGGCTCTGGGAGTGGCCCTGAGGATGCCAGTGTCCGAGGGGCTGCTGCAGCACAGGCACTGGGGAACAGAAAGTGCCCATGGTTCTCGCGGGGTGTCAGAGTCTGACATCTCCAAGTGCACACAGGCAGGAGTCAGGTGCAGACGAGAGGAGCCGGGCTGGAGGGGCTCCAGGACCCCGGGGCAGAGGATGCAGAGCCCAGACAAGGTGCATGGGCACCCGCAGCTGCCCCAACAGCACTCCACACGCTGACTCATGTCTAGAGAGGTCCCAGACTCTCAGCTTGGGATGGGTGCATGCTGCCAAGAGAACTGTCCTCAACTCAAAGATAGGTCCTGCTTAGGAGGCACCGCTTTTGAATGACTGTGCCATCTTCTAAATTAATAGAGTGCATGGTTTTAACCAAGGAGATAGGACATCAGAAGGGGAGAAAATGAAAAATAGCAATGACTGCCACTAAAATTATTTGGCCAAATCTAGCTTTCTCTAAATGAGTCAATATTTTTTAAGTAACAGTGCTGTGTCCAATGGCTTACATTAAGTACTTACTGTCATATTTTCCCAACTAAATCTAAAGTGATAATGAGTCCTTATAGAAACTCTGCTGAAAAGCGTGTCGTATGTCGACCCAGTCCGGGTGCCCGAGCGATTCAGTCCGCTATCCTGCGAGTTTGCTCAGAGAACCACCCCCACGCTGGCCCCACCTTGCTCTTTGTCACAGCAGATGATGGCTGCCAACCACTTCTCCTAGGCTACCTGGAAAAACGGCTTCTGGGTGTTCTGCCCATGGAAGGCACTGCTGGGAGGCTGAGGGCAGGTGGAGAGAGGGAGCGGAGGACACGGTTCAGTTCCCACCAGGAGGCCCTCTCCCTCCGCTCGGCCACCTCAGGCCGCCCTGGCTACTGGGCACTGAGGTCACCACCTCCTCCCGCTGCATCAGAGCCCCAGCTTCAGCTTGCCCAGTGTCTTTCTAACCAGCTCCCACTCTAATTTCCTCTGGAGAATGCTCTTTTTCTGCCTGGAGCTGATGGATATCATTAAAGAAAGCCACACTTACTGGACTTGGTGGACCCAGGGACTCTGGCAGGAGGTCGTGGTCCTCTCCATGAAGAGCCAGCCTCAGTCTTTCTGAATGCATGCAGGTGTCTAAGTCTACTTGCTCATAACCAACCGTGCTGGTGAAAGCCAACAGTCTAGATACAAACTCGAAAGTGTTTTCAAAATTAAGATTATTATAAACCAATACATGAACCCATGTCATTTGATTACTACACAATTAAATCCATTAAAAACCACTAATATATTTCACTTAGAGTAACCAAACTGACCACCCTCACAGTGACTAAGAGCCCATATACACTGTCAGCCTCTGCATCCGTGAGTTCCCTACCCATGGATTCAACCCACCACGATCAAAAGTGTTAGAAAAACAAAACAGAACAATACAAACTAACAATAAAACAGTAAAAGGTAATAAAAATAAAAACTGCAG